GGATAAGCCGTCCCCTTATGGTATCAATGTAAAAATGTATAATTTTACAGAGATGTGTTAATACATATATGTATTATCACCAATTCATTATTTTGACCATAAAGCAAGTACTAAATATTAGGGTATGCATAAACCATACTATTAAAACTCAGAAATAATATTATTTCAACTTGGGTAATATATTATTCCCCAAAAATTTGACCTCAAATTTTTCCTTGAAATAACCAGCTATAAGATTTTACTCGAAAATATTAATGTAGTAAGAAACCACCAACCGGTTGTACAAAGACATATCATGCATGATAGAATCAAGGGCATTAACTGTAAGGGTAGCACAATATGAACTATTACTGGCATCTGGTTCCTATTTCAGGCACATAACATGAATATTCCCCTCTCAAATAATTATACTGGCATTTGATTAATGGTGTAGTACATATGTCTCGTTACCCACCATGCCGGGCATTCTTTTATATGCATAACGTTCTCCTTTTTTTTCATTTTCATTTTGCATCTCAAAGTGCAGGCTCAAATGTGAATCAAGGTTGAGCAGTTTCCTTGTAAGTGACAATATAAATTAATTATTATAAGACATAATTTAAGAATTACATTCTATTATCTCAAGTGCATAACATGTATGTCTATTGTTCAACTTATCCTTACATAGTGTCCCCTTTGGTTTTTGCGCGACAAACCCCCCTACCCCCCTACGCTCAGCGAATCCTGTTATTCTTGTCAAACCCCAAAAGCAAGAAGGACTCAAGAACGTATCAGCCAACGAGTTGTGGTGTAAATTGGCATCCCATTATATATATATATATATATATATATATGCACCAATTTTTATTGTAACAACTCACCACCAGCCTAACAACCCCTACTAAAAATTTTACAAAAATAGCCCGGCACTAAATATTCTAATATTATTAAGCAGCTAGCGTAGCTTAATACAAAGCATAGCACTGAAGATGCTAAGATGGGTCCTAAAAAACTCCGCATGCATAAAGGCATGGTCCCGACCTTATTATCAGCTCTAACTCAACTTACACATGCAAGTCTCCGCAACCCAGTGAATATGCCCTCAATCCCCTGCCCGGGGACGAGGAGCGGGCATCAGGCACAAACGTTAGCCCAAGACGCCTAGCCAAGCCACACCCCCAAGGGAATTCAGCAGTGATAAACATTAAGCCATAAGTGAAAACTTGACTCAGTTAGTGTTAAGAGGGCCGGTAAAACTCGTGCCAGCCACCGCGGTTAGACGAGAGGCCCTAGTTGATACTACAACGGCGTAAAGGGTGGTTAAGGATAGACAAAAATAAAGCCAAATGACCCCTTGGCTGTCATACGCTTCTAGGTGTCCGAGGCCCTAACACGAAAGTAGCTTTAATAAATTCACCTGACCCCACGAAAGCTGGGAAACAAACTGGGATTAGATACCCCACTATGCCCAGCCGTAAACCTAGGCATCCAGTTACAATTAGATGCCCGCCAGGGTACTACGAGCATTAGCTTAAAACCCAAAGGACCTGACGGTGTCTCAGACCCCCCTAGAGGAGCCTGTTCTAGAACCGATAACCCCCGTCTAACCTCACCACTTCTAGCCACCCCAGCCTATATACCGCCGTCGTCAGCTTACCCTATGAAGGTAATAAAAGTAAGCAAAATGGGCACAACCCAATACGTCAGGTCGAGGTGTAGCGCATGAAGTGGGAAGAAATGGGCTACATTTTCTAATATAGAATATTACGAACATGCACCATGAAACAGTGCTTGAAGGAGGATTTAGTAGTAAAAAGGAAACAGAGTGTCCCTTTGAACCCGGCTCTGAGACGCGTACACACCGCCCGTCACTCTCCCCCGTCAAAACGCACCAAAAATACCTAACATAATAGCACCGACAAGGGGAGACAAGTCGTAACACGGTAAGTGTACCGGAAGGTGCACTTGGATCAAACCCAAGGCGTGGCTGAGTCAGTTAAGCATCTCACTTACACCGAGAAGACATCCATGCAAACTGGATCGCCCTGAGCCAAACAGCTAGCTTAACTACTTAATAACCAAACAATATAAATAAAATAAAATAAGCCCAATACCAAAAACTAAACCATTCTTTTACCTGAGTATGGGAGACAGAAAAGGTTCTACAAAGCAATAGAAATAGTACCGCAAGGGAAGGCTGAAAGAGAAATGAAACAACCCATATAAGCACTAAAAAGCAAAGATTAAAACTCGTACCTTTCGCATCATGATTTAGCCAGTATACCCAAGCAAAGAGACCTTTAGTTTGAAACCCCGAAACCAGGTGAGCTACCCCGAGACAGCCTATTAGGGCCAACCCGTCTCTGTGGCAAAAGAGTGGGAAGAGCTCCGGGTAGAAGTGACAGACCTACCGAACCTGGTGATAGCTGGTTGCCCAAGAAATGAATAGAAGTTCAGCCTCGTATTCCCCAAATCAAATAAACATGAACAAGACCCTAAGAGAGACATACGAGAGTTAGTTAAAGGGGGTACAGCCCCTTTAACAAAGGACACAACCTTTCCAGGAGGATAAAGATCATAATATATAAAACATACTGTTCTAGTGGGCCTAAAAGCAGCCACCTAAACAGAAAGCGTTAAAGCTCAGACAGATAAAAGTTTATTATCCTGATAAAAAATCTTATTCCCCTAAATATTATTAGGCCAACCCATGCCCACATGGAAGAGATTATGCTAAAATGAGTAACAAGAAGGCCCGCCCTTCTCCAAGCACAAGTGTAAGCCAAACCGGACTAACCATTGGCAACTAACGAACTCAACCCCAGAGAGCAATGTGAATTACAAAAAAAATCAAGAAAAACCCACACTGAACTATCGTTACCCCCACACTGGAGTGCTATCAAAGGAAAGACTAAAAGAAAAGGAAGGAACTCGGCAAACACAAGCCTCGCCTGTTTACCAAAAACATCGCCTCCTGCAACACAACCAAGTATAGGAGGTCCAGCCTGCCCAGTGACCACAAGTTCAACGGCCGCGGTATTTTAACCGTGCAAAGGTAGCGCAATCACTTGTCTTTTAAATAAAGACCTGTATGAATGGCCAAACGAGGGCTTAACTGTCTCCCTTTTCAAGTCAGTGAAATTGATCTACCCGTGCAGAAGCGGGTATAATAATACAAGACGAGAAGACCCTTTGGAGCTTAAGGTACAAAACTCAATCACGTAAAGCAACTCAATAAAAAGTAAAAACTTTGTGAACATGAGATTTTACCTTCGGTTGGGGCGACCACGGAGGAAAAAAAAGCCTCCAAATGGACTGGGAGAACCTCCTAAAACCAAGAGAGACATCTCTAAGCCACAGAATATCTGACCAAGCATGATCCGGCCAATATTAAACCGATCAATGAACCAAGTTACCCTAGGGATAACAGCGCAATCCTCTCCCAGAGTCCATATCGACGAGGGGGTTTACGACCTCGATGTTGGATCAGGACATCCTAATGGTGCAGCCGCTATTAAGGGTTCGTTTGTTCAACGATTAAAGTCCTACGTGATCTGAGTTCAGACCGGAGCAATCCAGGTCAGTTTCTATCTGTAACGCCACTTTTCCTAGTACGAAAGGATCGGAAAAGAGGGGCCCATACTTAAAGCACGCCCCACCCCAATTTATGAAAACAAATAAATAAAATAAAGGGGGGCCAAAACCCCAGCTGGCCAAAATAAGGACATACTGGGGTGGCAGAGCATGGTAAATTGCGAAAGGCCTAAGCCCTTTTAACCAGAGGTTCAAATCCTCTCCCCAGTTTATGTTAAACACCCTAATCACCCACTTAATCAACCCCTTAGCCTACATTGTACCAGTACTCCTAGCAGTAGCCTTCCTAACACTCATTGAACGAAAAGTACTAGGATATATGCAATTACGAAAAGGACCAAACGTAGTAGGCCCTTACGGACTACTACAACCCATTGCCGACGGACTAAAACTCTTTACCAAAGAGCCCGTCCGCCCATCTACATCATCCCCATTCCTATTTTTAACCACCCCAGTACTTGCACTAACCCTAGCCATAACCCTATGAGCACCTATACCCATACCTCACCCAGTAACTGACCTAAACCTAGGAATTCTGTTTATCTTAGCCCTATCAAGCCTTGCAGTATACTCAATTTTAGGGTCAGGTTGAGCCTCAAATTCAAAATACGCACTAATTGGCGCTTTACGAGCCGTAGCTCAAACAATTTCATATGAAGTCAGTCTCGGACTAATTCTCCTGTCTGTAATTATTTTTTCAGGGGGGTACACCCTACAAACATTCAACATCACCCAAGAAAGTATTTGACTACTTATCCCCGCCTGGCCTTTAGCCGCGATATGATATATCTCAACACTAGCCGAAACAAACCGAACACCATTCGACCTAACAGAAGGAGAATCAGAACTAGTGTCCGGTTTCAATGTAGAATACGCAGGGGGCCCCTTCGCACTATTCTTCCTAGCCGAATACGCCAACATCCTTCTAATAAATACCCTATCAGCTGTCCTATTTTTAGGGGCCTCGCACATTCCAAGCATTCCAGAGCTCACAACAATCAACCTTATAATTAAAGCCGCGTTACTGTCCATTATATTCCTATGAGTGCGGGCCTCATACCCGCGATTCCGATACGATCAACTAATACACCTAGCATGAAAAAACTTCCTTCCCCTTACACTAGCCTTCGTATTATGACACACCGCCCTACCGATTGCACTAGCAGGACTCCCCCCACAACTATAACCAAGGAACTGTGCCTGAGCACCCAAGGACCACTTTGATAGAGTGAATTACAGAGGTTAAAATCCCCTCAGTTCCTAGAAAGAAGGGAATTGAACCCATACTCAAGAGATCAAAACTCCAGGTGCTTCCCTTACACCACTTTCTAAGGCGGGGTCAGCCAATTAAGCTTTCGGGCCCATACCCCGAACATGACGGTTAAAATCCCTCCTCCGCCAATGAACCCATACGTACTTGCAGTCCTACTATCTAGTCTAGGACTAGGAACCACCCTAACCTTTGCTAGCTCTCACTGACTCCTAGCTTGAATAGGCCTAGAAATCAATACACTAGCAATCACCCCCTTAATAGCACAACACCACCACCCCCGTGCAGTAGAAGCAACTACAAAATACTTCCTAACCCAGGCCACCGCAGCAGCAATAATCCTATTTGCAAGCACAACAAATGCCTGAATAACCGGAGAATGAAGCATCAACAACCTATCAAATCCCATCGCCAGCACAATATTTATAGCAGCCCTAGCACTTAAAATTGGACTCGCACCAATACATTTCTGAATACCAGAAGTGCTACAAGGATTAGATCTATTAACAGGGCTCATCCTATCTACCTGACAAAAACTCGCCCCATTCGCACTTATTATCCAAACAGCACAAACTATCGACCCATCACTACTAACACTACTAGGAATTACATCCACACTGGTCGGGGGCTGAGGAGGGCTAAACCAAACCCAGCTACGGAAAATTCTAGCCTATTCTTCAATCGCACATATAGGATGAATAATTATTGTAATCCAGTACGCCCCCCAACTCACCTTAGTTGCACTAGGAACATATATTATCATAACCTCCGCAGCATTCCTAACCCTAAAAATATTATTAACAACCAAAATCAACACACTAGCAACAACCTGATCAAAAAGCCCCATCCTGGCATCAACAACTGCCCTAGTCTTACTCTCACTAGGAGGCCTACCACCACTCACAGGATTTATACCAAAATGACTAATCTTACAAGAACTAACAAAACAAGACCTCCCCCTCACCGCCACAGCCATAGCCCTAGCCACCTTAATCAGCCTATACTTCTACTTACGACTATGTTACGCAATAACACTAACCATTTCCCCCAACATAATCAACTCAACCACCCCCTGACGAACTCAAATAACCCAAACCTCTTTATCTCTAGCCCTATTTACCACAGCCGCCCTGGGGTTATTACCAATAACCCCAACCATTCTAATACTAATCACCTAGGAACTTAGGATAACATTAAGACCAAGAGCCTTCAAAGCTCTAAGTAGAAGTGAAAATCTTCTAGTCCCTGATTAAGGCCTACAAGAAACTAACTCGCATCTCCTGACTGCAAACCAGGCACTTTTATTAAGCTAAAGCCCTACTAGACGGGAAGGCCTCGATCCTACAAACTCTTAGTTAACAGCTAAGCGCTCAAGCCAGCGAGCATCCATCTACTTTCCCCGCCGCCTAGTCAGTAAGGCGGGGAAAGCCCCGGCAGAGTATTAATCTGCATCTTTGAATTTGCAATCCAATGTGTTCTTCACCACGAGGCTGATAGGAAAAGGACTTAAACCTCTATCTTCGGGGCTACAACCCACCGCCTAAACGCTCGGCTACCCTACCTGTGGCAATCACGCGCTGATTCTTCTCTACCAACCACAAAGACATTGGTACCCTTTATCTCGTATTTGGTGCCTGAGCCGGAATAGTGGGAACCGCCTTAAGCCTTCTTATTCGAGCTGAGCTTAGCCAACCCGGGTCACTTCTAGGTGATGACCAAATTTATAACGTTATCGTCACTGCCCACGCCTTCGTAATAATCTTCTTTATAGTAATACCCGTTCTTATTGGGGGATTTGGAAACTGACTTGTACCACTAATAATCGGAGCCCCAGACATAGCATTCCCACGAATAAATAACATAAGTTTCTGATTATTACCCCCATCATTCCTGCTGCTATTAGCCTCTTCTGGTGTTGAAGCTGGGGCCGGAACAGGGTGAACAGTATATCCGCCCCTTGCAGGAAATCTAGCCCACGCAGGAGCATCAGTAGACCTAACAATTTTTTCACTTCACCTAGCAGGTGTTTCATCAATCCTGGGGGCAATTAACTTCATCACCACAACCATTAACATGAAGCCCCCAGCCATCTCTCAGTATCAAACACCCCTGTTCGTCTGATCCGTACTTGTAACCGCCGTCCTACTCCTCTTATCACTGCCTGTTTTAGCTGCCGGGATTACAATACTACTAACAGATCGAAACCTCAACACCACATTCTTTGACCCAGCAGGCGGAGGAGACCCAATCCTTTACCAACACCTATTCTGATTCTTTGGTCACCCAGAAGTCTACATTCTTATCCTTCCAGGATTTGGAATCATCTCCCATGTTGTAGCCTACTACTCAGGTAAAAAAGAACCGTTTGGTTATATAGGTATGGTGTGAGCAATAATGGCCATCGGCCTTCTAGGGTTTATTGTATGAGCCCACCACATATTCACCGTCGGTATGGACGTAGACACTCGTGCATACTTTACATCTGCAACAATAATTATTGCCATCCCAACAGGTGTAAAAGTATTCAGCTGATTAGCCACACTTCACGGGGGGTCGATCAAATGAGAAACACCCATACTATGGGCTCTGGGGTTCATTTTCCTATTTACAGTAGGCGGGCTCACAGGAATCGTCCTATCCAACTCATCACTAGACATTGTCCTTCATGATACTTATTACGTAGTAGCACATTTCCACTATGTACTATCAATAGGCGCTGTATTTGCTATTATAGCAGCCTTCGTACACTGATTCCCCCTACTAGCCGGATACACCCTCCACAGCACATGAACAAAAATCCACTTTGCAGTTATGTTTATCGGAGTTAACCTAACATTCTTCCCACAACACTTCCTAGGCCTAGCGGGCATGCCACGACGATATTCTGACTACCCAGACGCCTACGCCTTATGAAATACAGTATCATCCATTGGATCACTAATTTCTCTAGTGGCGGTTATTATATTCCTATTTATTCTATGAGAAGCCTTCGCCGCTAAACGGGAGGTACTATCTGTAGAACTAACAATAACAAATGTAGAATGACTCCACGGCTGCCCCCCTCCATATCATACGTATGAGGAACCAGCATTTGTCCAAATTCAATCAAATTAACGAGAAAGGGAGGAATTGAACCCCCATATGCTGGTTTCAAGCCAACCACATAACCACTCTGTCACTTCCTTTTAAAGACATTAGTAAAATGTAAATTACACCACCTTGTCAAGGTGAAATTGTAGGTTAAACCCCCGCATGTCTTAAGCCTGAAACTTAATGGCACACCCAACACAACTAGGATTTCAAGACGCAGCATCCCCCGTTATAGAAGAACTTCTTCACTTCCACGACCACGCATTAATAATTGTGTTCCTAATTAGCACCTTAGTATTGTATATTATTATTGCAATGGTATCAACCAAACTTACTAACAAGTACATCTTAGACTCCCAAGAAATCGAAATCGTATGAACTATTTTACCAGCCGTCATTTTAGTGCTTATTGCCCTCCCCTCTCTACGCATTCTATACCTCATGGACGAGATCAACGACCCCCACTTAACAATTAAAGCAATAGGACATCAATGATACTGAAGCTATGAATATACAGATTATGAAGATCTGGGGTTTGACTCTTACATAGTACCAACCCAAGACCTCGCCCCCGGTCAATTCCGACTCCTGGAAACGGACCACCGAATAGTTGTCCCAATAGAGTCCCCAATCCGTATCCTAGTATCCGCTGAAGACGTACTACATTCTTGAGCCGTTCCATCCCTTGGCATAAAAATAGATGCAGTCCCAGGACGACTAAATCAAACCGCCTTTATTGCCTCACGTCCAGGATTATTCTATGGACAATGCTCTGAAATCTGCGGGGCTAATCACAGCTTTATGCCAATTGTGGTTGAAGCAGTACCACTAGAACACTTCGAAAACTGATCCTCATTAATACTAGAAGACGCCTCGCTAAGAAGCTAAATATCGGACAAAGCATTGGCCTTTTAAGCCAAAAGTTGGTGATTCCCGACCACCCTTAGTGAAATGCCACAATTAAACCCCGGCCCTTGATTCATAATTCTAGTATACGCATGATTACTTTTCCTAGCCATTATCCCAACCAAAATCTTAAATCACATTTCACCAAATAAACCAACCTCAGTAAGCGCTAAAAAACACAAAACTGGGTCCTGACACTGACCATGATAATAAGCTTCTTTGACCAATTTGCAAGCCCAACATATCTAGGGATTCCACTAATTGCCATCGCAATCGCACTACCCTGAGTACTTTATCCGACCCCCTCATCTCGATGAGTTAACAATCGACTCACCACAATCCAAGGATGATTTATTAATCGATTTACTAATCAACTAATACTACCACTAAACATAGGAGGACATAAATGAGCATTATTGTTAGCCTCATTAATAATTTTCTTAATCACAATTAATATGCTTGGCCTATTACCCTATACCTTCACACCCACAACACAACTATCCTTTAATATAGGATTTGCCGTGCCACTATGACTTGCCACAGTAATTATTGGAATACGAAACCAACCAACAGTCGCTTTAGGACACTTATTACCAGAAGGAACACCCATCTTACTAATCCCTGTATTAATTATTATCGAAACAATTAGCTTATTTATCCGACCATTGGCCCTGGGGGTCCGACTTACAGCCAACCTAACCGCAGGCCACCTCCTAATTCAACTTATCGCCACAGCTGTATTTGTCCTTCTACCAATAATACCAACAGTAGCAATTCTAACCGCTACTGTACTCTTTCTGCTTACACTATTAGAAATTGCAGTAGCAATAATCCAAGCTTATGTATTTGTACTTCTTTTAAGCCTATATTTACAAGAAAACGTTTAATGGCCCACCAAGCACATGCCTACCACATAGTTGACCCAAGCCCATGACCACTGACCGGAGCTATCGCTGCCTTACTAATAACATCCGGCCTAGCAGTCTGATTCCACTTCCACTCAACAACACTAATAACCTTAGGATTAATCCTCCTACTTCTCACCATACACCAATGATGACGTGACATTATTCGAGAGGGGACCTTTCAAGGCCACCACACACCACCAGTACAAAAAGGACTACGATATGGAATAATTCTATTTATTACCTCAGAGGTATTCTTCTTCTTAGGGTTCTTCTGAGCCTTTTACCACTCAAGCCTGGCACCCACCCCAGAGTTAGGAGGTTGCTGACCCCCCACGGGAATTACCCCACTAGACCCATTTGAGGTCCCACTCCTCAACACAGCCGTACTGTTAGCATCAGGCGTCACAGTAACATGAACCCACCACAGCATTATAGAGGGAGAACGAAAACAAGCTATTCAATCCCTAACACTAACCATTCTATTAGGGCTTTATTTCACCGCACTACAAGCCATGGAATATTACGAAGCACCATTTACAATCGCAGACGGAGTCTATGGTTCAACATTCTTTGTAGCCACGGGCTTCCATGGGCTACACGTTATTATTGGATCAACCTTCCTAGCAGTATGCCTCCTACGCCAAATCCAATACCACTTTACATCTGAACACCACTTCGGCTTTGAAGCCGCTGCCTGATACTGACACTTTGTTGACGTAGTATGACTGTTCCTCTACGTATCTATCTATTGATGAGGCTCATAATCTTCCTAGTATTAAAGTTAGTACAAGTGACTTCCAATCACACAGTCTTGGTTAAACCCCAAGGAAAGATAATGAATTTAATTATAACTATTTTAATTATTACAACAACCCTATCCTTAATCCTAGCGGCTGTATCTTTTTGACTTCCACAAATAAGCCCCGACGCAGAAAAATTATCACCATACGAGTGCGGATTTGACCCCCTAGGCTCCGCCCGACTACCATTTTCCCTACGCTTCTTTCTAGTAGCAATTCTATTCCTCCTCTTTGACCTAGAAATTGCCCTCCTCCTCCCACTACCCTGAGGAGACCAGCTCCATAACCCCACCGAAACACTCTTCTGGGCCACAACAGTCCTAATTTTACTAACACTGGGACTAATCTACGAATGAACCCAAGGCGGCCTAGAGTGAGCAGAATAGGGGGCTAGTCCAAAACAAGACCTCTGACTTCGACTCAGAAAGCCGTGGTTTAAATCCACGACCCCCTTATGACACCCGTACATTTCAGCTTTAGTTCAGCATTTATTTTAGGTTTAATAGGACTAGCATTTCACCGAACCCACCTACTCTCCGCACTCCTATGCCTAGAAGGAATAATATTATCCCTATTTATCGCACTAGCCCTATGAACGCTGCAATTCGAATCAACAGCATTCTCAACAGCTCCTATATTACTACTAGCCTTCTCTGCCTGTGAAGCAAGCACTGGCCTAGCACTACTAGTTGCTACTGCCCGCACTCATGGAACTGACCGACTACAAAACCTTAACCTCCTACAATGCTAAAAGTACTAATCCCCACAATCATGTTATTCCCAACAATTTGATTAGCCTCCCCTAAATGACTATGAACAACCACAACCGCACACAGCCTCCTAATTGCCTCCATTAGCCTAATATGATTAAAATGAACCTCAGAAGCCGGATGAACCTCCTCTAATATATATCTAGCCACAGACCCATTATCAACCCCCCTTTTAGTGCTAACATGCTGATTACTTCCACTTATAATTCTAGCCAGCCAAAACCATATTAGCCCCGAGCCAATTAGTCGACAACGCTCTTATATTACACTTCTCGCCTCACTACAAACCTTTCTAATTATAGCATTCGGTGCCACAGAAATCATTATATTTTACATTATATTTGAAGCTACACTTATCCCAACCCTTATCATTATTACCCGTTGAGGAAATCAAACCGAACGACTTAATGCAGGAACCTACTTCCTATTCTACACTCTAGCAGGGTCACTCCCACTTCTAGTTGCCCTACTTCTTCTTCAACAATCTACAGGTACACTATCAATATTAGTACTCCAATACTCACAACCTCTTCAACTCAACTCTTGAGGCCATATAATTTGATGAGCTGGCTGCCTGATCGCATTTTTAGTTAAAATACCATTATACGGGGTTCACCTATGGCTACCCAAAGCACATGTAGAAGCCCCTGTAGCAGGATCAATAGTGCTAGCAGCAGTCCTACTAAAACTTGGCGGATATGGAATGATACGCATAATAGTAATACTAGATCCTCTATCAAAAGAGCTAGCCTACCCATTCATTATCCTAGCCCTCTGAGGTATTATTATAACCGGATTAATTTGCCTTCGACAAACAGACCTAAAATCACTAATTGCCTACTCATCTGTAAGCCACATAGGACTAGTGACAGGGGGAATCCTAATTCAAACCCCATGAGGATTCTCAGGAGCAATTATTTTAATAATTGCCCACGGACTAGTATCCTCAGCACTATTTTGCTTAGCCAACACAGCCTATGAGCGAACCCACAGCCGAACGATAATACTCGCCCGAGGGCTGCAAGTAATTTTTCCACTAACCGCAGCATGATGATTCACCGCCAATCTAGCCAACTTAGCACTCCCCCCACTACCTAACCTAATAGGAGAGCTCATAATTATCACAACACTATTCAGCTGATCCCCATGAACCATCTTACTTACTGGCCTAGGAACATTAATCACAGCTGGTTATTCTCTATATATATTTCTTATATCACAACGGGGCCCAACACCCAAACATATTATAGGGCTTCAACCCTTCCACACCCGAGAACACCTGCTAATAACCCTACACCTAATCCCCGTCATCCTACTAGTGACAAAACCAGAACTCATGTGAGGATGGTGTTACTGTAAGTATAGTTTCAACCAAAACATTAGATTGTGATTCTAAAGATAGGAGTTAAAACCTCCTTACTCACCAAGGAAGAATCAGAAAATAGTAAGCACTGCTAATCCTTACACTCCGTAGTTAAAATCCACGGCTTCCTTGCGCTTTCAAAGGATAACAGCCCATCCGTTGGTCTTAGGAACCAAAAACTCTTGGTGCAAATCCAAGTGAAAGCTAAAATGACACTAATTATACACTCATCTCTTCTTCTAATCTTCTTTATTTTAATATACCCACTACTCACCACACTAAGCCCTAGTCAACAAGAACTCAACATAGCAAAAATAACCAAAACTGCCGTTAGTTCCGCATTCTTCGTCAGCCTGTTACCACTTATAATTTTCCTAAATCTGAAAACAGAGGGCATTATTACAAATTGACAATGGATAAATACTCAAACATTTGACATCAATATTAGCTTTAAATTCGACCACTACTCCTTAATTTTTGTCCCAGTTGCCCTATATGTTACCTGATCAATCCTAGAATTTGCACTATGATATATACACTCTGACCCCTATATTGACCGGTTCTTTAAATACTTACTCACATTCCTAGTAGCCATAATCATCTTAGTCACAGCCAACAATATATTTCAACTATTTATTGGCTGAGAGGGGGTGGGGATTATATCATTCCTGCTAATTGGATGATGACATGGACGAGCAGACGCTAACACAGCAGCTCTTCAGGCTGTAATTTATAATCGAGTAGGGGATATCGGACTAATTATAACCATAGCTTGATTTGCAATAAACCTCAATTCCTGAGAAATTCAACAAATCTTTGTTTTATCAAAAAGCTTCGACATAACAGTCCCCTTACTAGGACTTGCCTTAGCAGCAACAGGAAAATCAGCCCAGTTCGGCCTCCACCCATGGCTACCGTCCGCCATGGAGGGCCCTACACCAGTGTCTGCCCTACTCCATTCTAGTACTATAGTTGTTGCAGGGATTTTTCTACTAATCCGCCTTCACCCGCTTATAGAAAATAATCAGCTGGCCCTAACAATCTGCCTCTGCCTTGGAGCATTAACCTCATTATTTACAGCCACTTGTGCTTTAACCCAAAATGATATCAAAAAAATTGTAGCTTTCTCAACATCAAGCCAACTTGGACTAATAATAGTTACAATTGGATTAAATCAACCACAACTAGCGTTCCTACACATTTGCACCCACGCTTTCTTCAAAGCCATGCTATTCCTATGCTCTGGCTCAATTATTCACAGCCTAAACGATGAACAAGACATCCGAAAAATAGGAGGCCTGTTCAATATTATACCTGCCACCTCAACTTACTTTACAATTGGCAGCCTTGCCCTAACAGGAACCCCCTTCCTGGCAGGGTTCTTCTCAAAAGATGCAATTATTGAAGCCCTAAACACCTCTTATCTAAACGCCTGAGCCCTAACCCTAACACTAATTGCCACATCATTCACCGCAGTATATAGCTTCCGGCTAGTATACTTTGTAATTATGGGAACCCCACGATTCCTACCACTATCCCCAATTAACGAAAATAACCCACTAGTGATTAACTCTATTAAACGACTTGCCTGAGGAAGCATTATTGCAGGACTCCTCATCACACAGAACTTCCTGCCAATAAAAACACCAGTCATAACAATACCAACCACCCTAAAAATAGCAGCTCTTGTAGTAACAATTACAGGCCTACTCGTGGCCACAGAACTAGCTAATATAACAAGCAAACAAGTAAAAATCATCCCAGTAACCCCCACACACCACTTCTCAAATATATTAGGGTTCTTCCCAACAACTATTCACCGCCTCCTTCCAAAACTTAAACTTACCCTAGGACAATCCGCCGCCACCCAACTCGACAAAACATGACTCGAAACCATCGGGCCAAAAGGCCTGGCACTAACACAAACAACCATAGCAAAGACTATAAACGACATTACACGAGGAATAATCAAGACATACCTAACCATATTCCTTCTAACCCTAATCTTGGCCATCATTCCAATTCTCCTTTAAACCGCACGAAGAGCCCCACGACCTAAACCACGGGTAAGCTCTAAAACAACAAGCAAAGTCAAAAGCAACACCCAAGCACAAATAACTAATATACCCCCACCAGACGAATACATCACAGCCACACCACTGATATCGCCACGCAAAACAGAGAACTCCTTCAGCCCATCCACAATCACCCACGAACCCTCATATCAGCCCCCTCAGAAAAACCCCGCCACTAAACCAACCCCTAATAAATAAACCAAGACATACACTAATACAGAACGACTGCCCCAAGCCTCTGGAAAAGGCTCAGCAGCCAAAGCTGCCGAATAAGCAAAAACCACAAGCATCCCCCCTAAATAAATTAAAAAAAGAACTAATGATAAAAAAGAACCCCCATGGCCAACCAAAATCCCACACCCAACCCCAGCTGCAACCACCAAACCAAGAGCAGCGAAATAAGGCGTAGGATTAGAAGCAACAGCAACTAAACCCACAACCAAAGCTATTAGTAATAAAAACATAAAATAGGTCATAATTCTTGCTCAGACTTTAACCGAGACCAATGACTTGAAGAACCATCGTTGTTATTCAACTACAAGAACCATTAATGACAAGCCTACGAAAAACACACCCCCTTATTAAAATAGCCAACAGCGCATTAGTTGACCTACCAGCACCATCCAACATTTCAACATGATGAAACTTTGGGTCCCTACTAGGATTATGCCTAATTACCCAAATTCTAACCGGCCTATTCCTAGCCATACATTACACCTCGGATATTTCAACTGCATTCTCATCAGTAACCCACATTTGCCGAGATGTCAACTACGGCTGACTAATCCGAAACATCCACGCCAACGGAGCATCATTCTTCTTCATTTGCATTTATATACACATTGCCCGAGGCCTATATTACGGATCATATCTTTATAAAGAAACCTGAAACATCGGCGTAGTCCTTCTACTGCTAGTTATAATAACAGCCTTTGTCGGCTATGTACTACCATGAGGACAAATATCTTTCTGAGGGGCCACAGTAATCACAAACCTCCTATCCGCCGTGCCATATATAGGAAATATGCTAGTCCAATGAATCTGAGGCGGATTTTCAGTAGATAACGCAACACTAACACGATTCTTCGCATTCCACTTCCTATTACCATTTATTATTGCCGCTGCAACCATCCTCCACCTCCTATTCCTCCACGAAACAGGATCAAACAACCCAATAGGACTAAACTCAGATGCAGACAAAATTTCTTTCCACCCATATTTCACGTATAAAGATCTCCTGGGATTCGTAATCATGTTATTAGCTCTAACACTACTAGCGTTATTTTCCCCTAATATACTAGGGGACCCAGAAAACTTCACCCCCGCCAACCCTTTAGTTACCCCCCCACACATTAAACCAGAATGATACTTCTTATTTGCCTATGCCATTCTACGATCAATTCCAAACAAACTCGGAGGTGTCCTTGCACTGCTATTTTCTATCCTAGTATTAATACTCGTGCCACTATTACACACCTCAAAGCAACGAGGACTAACATTCCGCCCAATTACCCAGTTCCTATTCTGAAGTCTAGTAGCAGACATAGTTATCTTAACATGGATTGGAGGCATACCAGTAGAACACCCATTCATCATCATTGGACAAATCGCATCCGTATTATATTTCGCACTATTCCTCATTCTCATACCACTAACGGGATGATTAGAAAATAAAGCACTACAACTAGCTTGCCCTAGTAGCTTAATCTAAAAGTATCGGTCTTGTAATCCGAAGATCGGAGGTTAAACTCCTCCCTAGCGCCCAGAAAAGAGAGATTTTAACTCTCACCCCTGGCCCCCAAAGCCAGAATTCTAAACTAAACTATTTTCTGG